TGTGAGGTGGCATGAGCCAGATGGGAAGATGTAGCCTGGCTGATAGAAAAGTGATGTTACAGCACTAAGGTTGGCCTATAAATCATGTTGATATAACCACAACTGTGGGTTAAAGCCTGGTTGTATCATGTTCTGTCAGTATTGTTAGTGGTTTTAGTAGCATTTCTTAATCTTGTGTTGCCTTTTTGTTACACATTTCCTTGCTATTATACAGCTTGTTGTATGCAGTGACTCCTGTCACTGAAGTTTTCTTTTTTTCCGAGTCTTCACAGTACCTCCTGTTTCCACTTTAGTAGTTTCCAGTCCTGTCATCTCCAGCTGTTTATCCCTTCTGTCGTCTGACTTTAACATCACTTCTGTCATTTGCATTTGCTCCTGTCCAACATGAACACACAGCAGTGAGTGGAGACATCAGTTAGATAGATGCAAAAGCAAGTTACTTTGTAAAGTATACATATGCCATTTATATTTATTAACAACTGGTGGCAACTGTGAACAAGACAATATACGCAACAGCAATAACATGTGTGCAACACGGATGGACAGTAATATATAAACAAGACATTTTGGCAAATCCTGGGAGCAGTTTTGTGAATTTGTTTCTAGTTGGATGGAGCCTGTGCCAACTTGTAAACTGTAGTTATCAGAAGAAGTTAGACAGTTGTGAGTATCTTGAATCAATTATGTTAGCTTTAAGAGCCCATTATCATGACGTTAAAAGGAACTTCTTATTAAAAAAACAAGTGATCATCAACTTGGCAGGACATTATGCCCTGCGCCAGCCTTTTAAAGAGTTTCCTTTTAACAACATTGCATGAGGCAGTGGATTAAGCATTTCTGACATCTAACATCTTGCTACGAGGAGCAATGTGTGGATGCCAACACATTGAATCAGCAAAGCTCTCTAACTGTGTTTGTGTGCTTTACTGTTGAATCTCCCTGTTGGCTCACAAATCAATATTTCTCAGGTCGAGGCGGGCATAATGGTGGGACATATTATTTCGGACAGGAGGTTTGCATTTACTGATGTTGTTGTCATGCCTTATGCAAGTCGGCTGCTTATGTGTAGTGTCTATATGATTTCAATTCAGGTGATTAACTGTTAACAGACTGTGTTGACTTGAGGTCAATGTATGCACTTTTTAGATCTTCAAACGGTTCTTTAATGTCCGTCTTCTTCCTATGGCATGTGTCGGGGGCAGATAACCAGCTTCATTGATTTATTAGACCTCTCCTAATCTCCACACCAACACTTGAGGTTTCTCTTTGAAGAAGCATTTAGGTTAGATAAAGTGAACCTAATTATGAGTAAAGTCTTTAATTAGGAACTTTTTTTCATTCTCAATGCCTTTCCAAAGACATCTAAAGCATACAACCACAGAACAGTGCTCTAATCTTTAATGATCGTATATGCAGTACATTTTAAGTCATATATTTTAATTCTTAATAAAGTTATAATCAAGCAGGGACTATTCCTTTGAGTTGAATGAATATTCAAATGATCTATTGAGTGCTTCACGCTGTCCTTATTCCTGTGGATAGCACAATGAAAATGTTAGTCTCTGACTCCTGCAGGTTTTCAGGCTTCGGATAAGTCAAGTTATTTTAAATATGAGCACACTGCTAATAGCATGTAAGCACGTCTGTTTCCAGTACAGCCCTCACTGTCAAAAGGACATATAACTCAAGGTACTAAAGGCAACCATTTGCTGACGGTTGCAAATACTGACTAAGTATAGCTTCTTATTACAATGTAGTTTATTAGATCTGGTCAGCCATCCTAAAACATAACTGTGGCTGGCTTGATAATTACACGATATCCTTACTGGAATCCAGATGCAATAGGAAAGATTAGGAGGATTTAACATTGTTGGATGACATGTCTTAATATAGAATAGGGGTTTTCTTGCCAGTCAGCGACAACCCAAAGTAAAACCAAGAACATTTGTGATCTTGGGATGTAGGAAAATCCAAAAATAAATCAAAGGGAATAATTAATGATCCATTACACATAGGCCTTTCACACGAGCAATACCGCAGCTTTGATGTGGCGTCGCTCAGATGAAATGTTGTTACTAGAGGTCAGTAATTGACATTTACCCTGTGGAACAATAAACCATCTCGAGTTCATCGTGTCAGAATAGTTTTCTCTGGAGCATTGGAAAGATTACCGGATAAACAAATGATTTAAACATACAAGATTTAATGTCATCAGCGGTTTGTTTCCCTAACCGACAACTTTCAAAGATGAAAGGATTTCATGCAATTACTCTCAGTTTGTACTGCCCGTTTGACAGCTTCTCAACCTCACAGGGATCATAACATCTAATAGAAATACCTGTATTTATGTTAAGGACTATTCTGACTTTGAAAAACACACAGCAGCGCTATTCATTTAAATTTAAATCCTAGATGAAAAAGTGATGTTAGTTTGTCAGTTGTGCAAGTAATATAGTGGTTTTGTAGCTTGCAACTTATCATCTTGACTATAACCCTTAAACTAGAAATGTAATTAAAAAAATGCAATGTTTGTATTTTGTTATTAATTGTTATTGAGTTTTAGAAGCCTTTGAGAATATGCTGATCCAACCTAATCAAATTACTTAGTTGAAAAAAATGCCTTACCCAAAGCTTTAATAAAGGGTTTTTCGCATACATTTGTACACTACAAACCACAACTACAACTTGTATTAATATCCAAAGTAATTCAATGGTAAATAGAATTAATTTAGCACTTTTTCATTCTTAACACTCTAAACTAAAAAGCCAGCTTTCATCTGACACTACCATAGGTGCAGGCTCCTTATCAGTAGCAATACACATTAACGTCACCCACACACAAACACCCACCGTTGTGCCCCCCCAGGAGCAATTTGGGGTTCAGTATCTTGCCCAAGGACCTCTAACATCATTGAACCAGCAACCTTCCAATTGGTGGACAACTGCCTCAGCCATTTTAACACATACAAATAAAAATATCTATAATTCAAATATGTGAAAATTTAAGTAAGAGTATATTTTCTACATATACAAAACAAGAATGTACAAAGCATGCTGTTCTCTTATTGCATTAATGTCTCCCTCCGGTCTCGGCTGTTGATATGGCAGCAGCATGACTCACACACTGTGACCATGACATTGACACACAGCTCAGGCTCTACTCTGAATCTGAGCACATGAAGAGAAATGTCTCTAAGGGATGATGAGAGGTGAATTCTACTCATAAAAGGGAGAACATATATTTTTTCCCCTACCACCCTGCTAATAATACCAGTAGGTAATACCGCAGCCTTGTGATAATCACACCTTTAATATTGTGTTAAAGAGACTGAATAGGAAACCGTGGTTCTCAAAAGGATAACATTTCAAATGGTAATGCTGCAGTTCATGCATACATTGTTTTGTGTGAATCCCTTGTGCATGTGGAAGCATTCTGAATCCAAAGTAGGTTAGTCATATTGTTAACTTGTGTTATCCTCATGTTTATATGACATTTTTCTTAGTTTCTATAAGCTCAGCGTTTGGCTTTTCTTACTGAGAGAGCTGTCTAAAGGTGTCAAGCATCATAAACATAAATAAGTAAGTCATTACAAGACATAATATTACCATTTTCCAGAGGAAGTAATTGATTTCACATGTGTCTTTTCAATAAAGGGTTTTTTACACTCGTGTTTTTGCACTCAAATTGTCGTTATTATAGACTTTAACACAGTTCTTTGGGGTGTTGGGGTCGTTGCATATCCCAGCAGTGTAAGTCATTCCCTGCTGGTAATTAGTGTTGTGTGAGCTGTGGTCATGTCTCCCATTGAAAGTCTCTGCCCTTGGTCCTCTGTAGGCAGCAGGGGGAGTCAGACATTAAGCCCTAATTGATGGCAAAGGGAGAGTGGGGCTTAGCCCTTTTTCTGCTGACGGGAGCAGCCAATACATATCAAGTCAATGGGGAGACAAAGGACCTCGCCCTTATCAGGTTATTAGACAATGAAATGTCTAATGAAATCACTGGGAGTTGTAGTCCCTAAACAAAACTGATCCAAAGCTTGGTCATTTATCAGTGCACCCTTTATTTACAGCAAGAGGACAGACAAGGTAGCTTTGTAATTGCTGATAAAACTGAGTACAGGGACATGTCTGATAAAACCACCTGATTCTTTACAGGAAACTACTGTAATTAAACAAAGAGTTGTGTTAACTCTCATGAGGATATAACAGTCTGTACACGGTGTGCTGGTCTGTCACTCTGGTCTGTTGGTCCTCAGATTGAATACCTTTCCATGTGGCACTGACGAATCAACAGATGCTGCAGCAGTCGTTTTTCTATTTACGAATTTGTTCCTGGAAGCTTTTAGAAAAACGTGTTCATTAGGGTGTTAAAATGATATTTATTTGTATGTGAAAAAGCTGAACAATGAATAATCCTTTTAAGCAACAAGGTTGTGAGAACATATAATCCCTCAAGAAATCAATGAGGCCATTGATGGGGATTTCTGTGCTTCAGTACAAAATAAAGCCTGACCTCTGCTTACTCTGTCTTCAATAGAGACTTCAGCAGCATTTTTACACTGTTGTCTTTAACTAAAGACATCAAAAGACTTATGCATGTATCAGGTTTCATTAGTTGGATCTGTATTTCACAGCTGCTCTGTGATCTCGTTCCACATAGTGGCTGTCTATGAGGCTGTAACGCAGCAGCAGGATGGGACGCTGTTTGTTATTTTAAACAGGACCTCAATCTCTTCCTCAGTTATAACTTTCATTATTTTAGGCAGTATTTCTTGAGTTTCTGGGGCTAAAAATCTACTACAATAATAAAAAGACTAGCTGATTTCAATGTTTAAAAATAAAGATATGGGATTTATCATGTTTTCAACGGTATATATTTTATGAAGTGACATCTTTTGTTCGTGCCGGCGGGCTGCATATCAGAATAAATGATGTATTATTCAAAGTTTATATTAACGTTTTGAATGATTGTCTTACAACTCTTTTTTTTCTTTTTACAGAAAGAGCTGAGTCTTCCACGAAGAGGCAGTTTGTGAGTACCAAGTACTAAATGTTGTTTTACACATCTTGCTTAAAATTCAGTGGGTTAACTTGTTTACATCAAATAGGCTAATGAACATAAACCTCCACTTGTCACAATAACCAGTACATTGGTAGGGCAGATAATGAGCTCAAATTGTAATGAAGGTTTGTGTTAAATATAACATTTTTAAACATTTCATCTTAGATGTACGCTGCCAATAATGTAAATACACATTCATAATTGTATTGAGCAGTAGGGCTGCATCATATATTTGAAATGAATATGATCATGTACATATTTATCTGATCACTTAAAATAGAAAAGATGAACATAAAATAATTAAACTGACGTTCATAGTTGTTTCTCTTCAAACACTACCCATACAAAAAACGGTTTAATTTGAGATGAGAATTTAGATTCATAAACCAAGACTCTGTGCTCATGTTCATTGCATGGTCTTGTCCTCCTATCAGGTGTGATGACTTTGTGATGATATATAAACTATTAGTTTCATACTTAGTCTAACCTGCATCACAAACACATCACAGTCCTCCTCTGAAATAGCCACATAACTAACATGGACGTGACTCTGAAAAGGTTTCTGTTGTTATCATGCGCTTCACATCATCTGCAGTTTGATAGATGTACCTCTGCGTTCAGTCAGTGGGAGAAAACGAAAAAGTGATGTAAATTAGCTTATGAATAAGCTAAATGCAATTTAGTTAGACTTAGTATTCATTTTTAAATTAGCTAAACACTTATGCAAACTACAATTTGTGTTATATTTTGGGAAATGGATGTTATAATACTTAATTTGCTTATGGAGATTGATAATTATGTAGGGGTAAGTGAACAATAACTGAATGTTTGTGCAGCCTTCACCTGTTGGCATGTTTTCTGCTGAAATGCATTTGTGAGCTTCTAAGATGTATGTATTTTCATCTACATCTTTTACGAGTCATGTTAAGATGTTCGCTTACACAATGGTTCAGTGTACGATCGCAGAATCATTTCCATCTTTCAAATATTGCTGGATGAATATGATCTACTTTACATTTTAATTAGTTGCTCAAAGGATCAAAAAGTGGATAGATTTGATTTTTATTCCAGCATAATTTTTGGGAAGCAGAGTTCATATTTTAGGGTGAAATACATCATTCATATGATAGTCTATTTTGTTATGAGAAAAAGAAGATGGGTTTAATTAAATAAACTGGCCTCAGGCTTGTTGGTCAGATGTCTCTTCGGTAAATGATACTTTGACTGTTGATTCTCCAGATGAAACAGCTTTTAAGCCAGGTGAGGGCATAACAGACTTCCTGGGTATTGATTTTTGGTTTAGTTTGCTATATTTTATGGTGGAAGAGAAAGATTTACCCATGACACCTTGCTGCTCTCGCTCGCACCTCAGCAGAGGTGGCACCTACTGTAATAGAGGTGAGCCATTACCAACTACATCGATTTATATTTATAGCGCTGCGCTGCAGCCTCTGGTGACCTTGGTAACCATAGTAATGGTGTTTGAATATCACAAAGTTGGTATAATGCTTAAAGTGAATCATAATTACATTTAGTTTAAAAGCCTATGAGGTTTGGACTAATTTGTCGCATTTGAAATGAATATTTTGTAAGATGGGTATATTTGCGTTTCTTGATTGGTATTACTGCTTCAATCTGAGTGTTATCATTTGCCTGATTTAAATGTGTTAGACAAGGTGTGTGACAGATGGGGGAGCAGGGTAGGGAATAAGGTAAAGTTGGTTTACAGCCTACCTTTATTTATATTCTAATCACGAAAAGAAATACACGAAAAAGCGGTGTCGGAAGAAGTACTTGGATCCTTTACTTAAATAAAAGTACAAGTAAAGTTCCTGATTTCAAATGTGTACTTAAGTTGACATACAAAAGAAAAAAGTATGATATTTGCCTCTGAAATGTAGTGGAGTAAAAGTATAAAGTAGCATTCATTGGAAGTCAAAATATAGTACTTGAGTACAATACTTGAGTAAATGTACTTAGTTACTTTCCACCACTGTGAACAAATAAAGTTTGTCGGACCATTGTTTTTTTTCTGCTACTTAAGCCTAAGAGTGGTTTTGCTGTGAAAGATAGCCAGCTACTAAACATTTAAAGATATTCAAATAGCAGTTCATTACCAGTTATCCTTTTCCACAAACTCTTTGCATCTTTGTGGTGGGCATTTATTATGGTCATTTATTTTCCACAGTCACAGCAGTGACGGGTGTATCTTTTAGACTATTTTAATATGTGGTGTTGCTTTCAACATGAGACATTCTACTGGTGTGATGACTGGAAAGTATTTATAGGCTGATCTTAATATTAGAACTCTTTTGCTGGGTCCAATTTAATAACTTGAAATCAATAATTTGTACGCAACTCAAGCCACACTCATTTGCTTTCTTGATACATTTTGGTTAGATTATTATTTCTCAACTTCAAGCAAAACATCACAGCCTGCTGCAGTTTTAAAACATCTGTTGTGCTGCCCAATTATATTAGCTGCTTTGCCATGCAATAGGATATCTATATATAAAGAGGAATTGTTTACTGTAGATTCTGTTACTTGGTCTTTTTAGGGTGAGAGTAAATTCAACAGATGCTGTCAGCCACACTACATGAACTTGATCTCTGCACATAAAGTTGTTGTCAGAGGATAGCCATTTACTGAGATTTATGAGTGGAAGTTTTACAGTTGCAGTCCTCCTGAAGCTGGAGATATGAACAGTGTTTTCTTATATACAATATATATTGAGTCTGGGACTTTTTGGCAGAGGCTCAGTTTTCACATGTTGCAAAGGTTTGCCTTGTTGTGTAATCTTACGTTTTTACAAACACACACAAACAAACGTTTCAAATGTAAGGCTGCATCAATACATAGTTTTATATTATTATTTAATATTGGCTATCAATTCATTTATGGAGTAAATGAAAACATTTAAAAAGTGCTGCTTTTTTAAGATATTTATTTCTCAACTATATTTCCACTCGGCTCCACAGAGCTTACGTCTTTTTACTTAATGTTTTGTTTTTTCCCCTGCACTTTAATGTTTTGGTTTTGTGAGCGTTGAAACACTCAAACTGGACTTTAAACTAGTGGTAATATGCTGGATAAATTAATAGGCAACTGTTTGCTTGCAATTTTCCCGTGTCCACTTTTTAACTTGAAAATAAGTCATTGTTGTGTTTAACCTGTTAAGCCCGGGAGCCCCGGGGGCGGGGGCTTCCGCAGCATCTTGCAAGAAACAGCGTCTGAGGGCTTCTTAATATTTAACAACCTATTAATGTGTCATACCCACTTAACGGGAAGAAACTCAGCACATAACTCACGGTAGAAATATTGTATACTTCATCGGGTCTGCACAAACTAGATATCTATGAAAGCTGAGCTTCCATAGATTCCAATGGTATAAGTATCATCACTGTGCGACCAAAACTCAGGGCAGCGAAGGCCAGCAAAGACAACACACAACTTCACTTTAGAAGAAGAAGAAGATACACTTTATGAATCCCTTACAGGGACATTTCTTTCCCCACTCTGTTGTGTTTACACACATTACACACAAAGGGGAGGATTTACATGCACAAACACAGAGGATATACATGCACACACACAACCACATGCAGATAGGAGAGGTGGCAGAGCAGAGAGGCTGCCAGGTACCCGGCGCCAAGGGAGCAGTTTCGAGGTTAGGTGCCTTGCTGAAGGGCACCTCGGCAGTGGCCTTGGAGGTGAACTGGCACCTCTCCAGCTACCAGCTCACTCCATCTTTTTTTTGGTCCGATCGGGACGCGAACCGGCGACCCTTCGGTTCCAAGACCAAGTCCCTACAGACTGAGCCACTGCCGCCTCAAAACGTGGCCAAAACGGCAAATACGTCTTACCTTTGCTGTTTTCTGATCAAAAGTTGTGTTCAATGGCATTAAAACGCATATAAACGCTGCTGAGGGTTAATCCAATGTCTCTGTCACTTTGAAATGATTACTGATAATCCGTAATCATATTTATGGCAATAAGCCTAGTTTTCAGTTTTCAGAGCGTAACATAGCTTTCGGTTTGGGCAAACTGCGTGCGCATCACTCTCACTCCTCAATGGTAACGTGTAGGTGAATTTAGGAACTCCCTCTCGATTCTATTGGCTCTAACGGTTCAAAAGAGGTGTCAATCACCAAAATCGACCAATAGGTTCCAGATATATGGCAAATACACCCAAATGACCGCAGAGGTGGTTTTTTTCTGAACCTCTCTAAAAAGGTCAAATGTCACTTGTTTTGCATCAATCCTGATACAGGGTACTTATGATATGTTATAGTTTGGATTCCTAAAGCTTTTAGTCTGCTATCCCATCATTCAAGGGTGGTTTTCACTATAAGTAATGGGAATGTCATTTTCCAGCCTGAGACCTGAAAAACAGGCTCAGGGCTTAACAGGTTAAATCATTTTGCACTGCCCCCAAGTGGCCACACATGACTTTATAGAATGGAATGAATGGACTTCTGTGGCACTTTCTGTGTAACTAAAAGCAGTCCGCATTCAGTTTCTGAGAGAAGGATGTGGGCCTACTTCACCTGCATAAAAGTAGACCTGATTTCAGAGAAATAGAAGCTGAACACTAGAAACAGCTCTGCAGTGTGCGTTCTTCACACCACAGGAACAGTAGCAGTCATACATTATTATTAAAACCTTGGTGATTCACCTGCCTTCACCCAAAGCTACAAATTACCAGCACAAAAAGAAATCAAACAAATTAGCTACATATCTTTATTTGACTTTATTTTTTAAATATTGCAATGACATATGAAATGAATGTCTGTCTGTTCTTTTTGTAAATACCAACCTCGTTGTGATTCATTAACACATCTCTGTGTTGGCAGGAAATCTTATACCTTTACATTTAGAATTTGCACTGCACACTCTTATATATCCTGTGTGCTGGTTTTAGTTATAATTTATTTATCCTTTTAAGCTAGAGCAAATGTTCTTGGATGTATAGATTTTAAATGTTTTATATTTTTGCTGGACTGTGAAGCCGGCTGTATGAGAAGGCACTGAGTGTACCTCACAAACTGACTCCTCATTGTGAGATGCTTATATTCTAACGTAGTTCAATGGAAAACCTGATTTCATCAAAATGTAGTTATTATGCTGTAGTTAAAATGATTGAGACTGTATGATAAAGGAAAGAGGATCGATACAACTGTAATGCCCGTTCGTTTAAGATGAAGCTCAAGCCAGGAGAGGGTTAGCTTAGCTTAGCAAAAAGGCTAGAAACTGATGAAAACAGCAAGACTGTCTTTTACCAAATGTAACAGCTAAAAGGCAGGTATTCTCTAGCAGGTCAAACTTAAACGATGCAATTTTCCTTTTAAAAAAAGCCTGAATTTGTAGACTTATGGCATAAAAATGTGTTTATTCCTTTATTCAACCCTTTCACTCCACTTCCTATTCCAACATATCTTTTGGATAGGGCATAGGGCATTATAGCCCCCTGAAAATGCTGGAGTTATGTCTCTGTCTTTTAGAAAAGAGAGAAAAGACCTCTTCTACCTTTTATGTGCTGACAGGAAGTCATGGGTCAGAGGTTTCAGTTTCTGCCAAACACAGGCTCTATACAATGTTATCATTTAACCTGGCTTCCTTTTCGAGAATTACATTTTTACTTACTTGCAAGTAAAAGAGCCACAAGCTACAACATGGAAAATGTACCAGAGTAAAGAGATGAATGACGATGGAAGAATCTGTGTGAAAATGCCTGAAACTTATAGGCAACTTAGTATACTTGAAGTATTTAGCTGACTCTTGACCGTTCTTTTCTTTATGTACAACCTGCATCTTCTTATGCTCTAGTTCCTTCCTGCCTTGTCTTCCAGTTCTGTGGTTAACAGTGTTTGGTGTCATCTGCAGTGGGTCTTTGCTCCTCAAAAACGCTCACCGTGATAAAGAATTCATGGTAAACTGAATGAGTGAGGCAGCAGCTAAGTGCGTGGTCTGCTTTCTATACTGCTGCCATCATTACAGGTTAAACAAAAGCATCCTCAAACAGCAGTTATTGTAGCTGACTCATTGCAAACTCTACACATTTTTTTGTGGTGTATTTTTATTCGACAGTGTGTTGAACATAATCTGAATAAGCCTCCTCTTGTCATGCAGTATTTCATCCACAATACATGTAACAAAATTGCATTATGGGGGATTTTACTGATGATAAGCAGAAGCCTTCGGGGTTTTTTAAATGCCTGCAGGGGCTAGGTCACTCTGCTGCGTCATCATGCTTAATAACTTTACCGAATTCTTTGACTTCCGTCACAGCCAACATTCACATGCCTCTTACAGAATCCATGCTCCTACCTGCCTGCAAAGATTAGATGTTTGAAACTAAGAAATCACTGGAACATGCATGTGTTACTTCCTCCTCCTTATTTGATTTGAATGACTAGTTGAATAAAAAGGATAGAAGCCATGTGTGAGTGCATTCCTCCGTGCAGACTGACTGACTGACGTAGACTGGCAGGTAGTGGTGCATTATGTTTTTCTTTCCAAGATGACATCACCCCCGTGGTTGTGGTGACATTGCATCTGCACGCCTCGTGTTAGCATCTGCCAAGGTGACTGCGTGTTAAGAGGTGCGGACAAAATGTGGATTTAATTTATTGCATCTATATCTGCTACGTAGCAAGTCACCAGCTGGTGGAGGAATTGTGCTTGGGTGGAAGGGGAGGGGAGGGGGAATATGTGCATGCATTTGTGAAGGAGCAGGGGGCGTGTATTAGGGGAGGGATATTGTCCTGCCTCCATGCCCTCCGCAGGCAACTGAGGATCTTATTTGACAGCTTCAAGGTGGGAAGTGGATAGACAAAAACAAGAACCGTAGCCCCCATTTTTTTTAACCCCCTCCCTTTTTTTGGGGGGAGAAAAAATCCAATCATCGCACTGTGGTGGCTGGGTTTGGCTCTTTGTCAGTGCAGGGGGGGCGGGAGGCAAGGCAGGCAGTGTGAATGCATATCATGACCACAATAGAGCAAACGAGCACAGTTCAGCCATGAAAGCCCAGCGGGAGAGGCTGAGAATTCCAGGGCTGACGCTAGAGTGAGTATTTTCCTCCGTTATCCTAGCAGAGAGGCAGCTCCTCTGCAGTGTGTCGCTCCATCTGTCTCTGTGTCATAATTGTTGCTTACCTTCACTGTTGCTTGTGCAGCGTTAGCATTAGCAGCAGCAGCATCTGCAGCAGGAAGTCTAATGTCAAATCTTTCACAGCTAGTCAACAGAGGCTTGTGTGTGTGTGTGTGTGTGTGTGTGTGTGTGTGTGTGTGTGTGTGTGTGTGTGTGTGTGTGTGTGTGTGTGTGTGTGTGTGTGTGTGTGTGTGTGTGTGTGTGTGTGTGTGTGTGTGTGTGTGTGTGTGTGTGTGTGTGTGTGTGTGTGTGTGTGTGTGTGTGTGTGTGTGTGTGTGTGTGTGTGTTTGTGTGTTTGTGTGTGTGTGTGTGTGTGTGTGTGTGTGCTGTGTATTAGTGTGTGTGTTGCTGTGTGTTTGTGTGTGTGTGTGTGTGTGTGTGTGGGTGTGTGTGTGTGTGTGTGTGTGTGTGGTGTGTGTGTGTGTGTGTGTACATTTATATGTTCTTCATGCCAGGTGTGGGATAAACTGATAGATAACATGTTATGTCAAGGAGTGCCCGCAGATGCACGGACCTGCTTTCTTTGCTAGGGTCACACACTCACATTACCAGTGCACATGTACGGCAATATGATTGGCAGTGTTTGTTGAATGTGATGAATACGGCGAAAATCTGTGTGTTTACACGGCAGGTTCCCCTTTTATCCAAGCTTTGATACGTTCTTTTTATTTATGAGTCATAAGGTTTGTTATGGTTCCCTCTATTTGAATGCACAATTGGATCGATAAGTTACTATTAAATCTGCTTTAAAAAGACTCTTTCCATGCAGATTTTATACATACAGATGTATTTTTTTCTAATTATTCCAACAAAAGACCAAAACCCCAAATTCTGTCTCATTACTTTCTGACGTTCTCAGCTCCAAGCCCATTGGTTCCTACTGAAGATGAGTCACAAGTGAAACCTTTGGCTTTTAAGAGGTAATGTTCTTGAAACAGTTGGCCACTGTATTTTGTATCAAACAATACCCAAACAGAAGAAGAATAACAAACAGTCAGGCTTTAAATTAATAAACAATATCTGTAAGTAGGATGCAGTCATCATTTGTTTTGGTCTTTTTATCGAATGTCTTAACATAAGAGAAATATAGAAAAATATGCAGGTTTATTATTCTAAAAGTGTATTATGGTCTGCCACTGCAGTAAAAGTTACTCACCTCTATATGACCTAAGGCTCTGCAGTGCATCAGTTTAGTTTAAATAGTGTTCAATCCATGACATAGGTGAAGGAAGGTCTTCCTGTATGACTTAAATCACAGAAAATATATATATTTACCTTATTACAAAAAATAATTACTAAAGAATGTGAAATTAGGTTAATCTGTAACTTCCTCTATAATATTTGGCCTTTGAGAACACGCACTTGGCTTTGATTTGAATCTTATTTGAAGCAACTTAGGGGTAGAGACATATCAAACTGTGCATACATGCCATGGGAACCTGCTCTTCAAACACAATGTTGGTTCATGTGACAGGAATCATTACTCATCATGATGATGCTGCTGTCTTCATCTGGGCACGTGTCAGAGCTGTCGGGGGGGGGGGGGGGGGGGGTTTCTGTCCTGTGTGTGATAAAAGGCAACTATTCACTCCACTCCATTTAACTTACAGCCTAACACCCCGAAGCTTGAGTCCCACTCCCACTAGCCCCTGCAGTCCGTGCAGTCCGCTGCACGCATTTCATTTTTGGAGGTAAGCGCTCTTCAACCGTGCCTATGTTGTTTTGAAAGGCCTGTTAGTGCATGTTTGAGTCAGTTTTGTCATCATGCGTCACAAGACTGGAAGTGCACATTCATTTTCCCCTCCGAAAATCATCTGCCATTGAAATGACATTGAAAGAGGAGGACACAGTGCTTATATAATGTTGATGGTGTCCCCCCTCCCCCCATCTTGGCCCTCTCTGTTCTGAGGTTTATGCTCCTCTTTCATGTGCTAAGTAGGATTTGTGGCATTTGCAATACATCAAAGTGAAGAATGGTCTCCATCGGCTTGAATCCCAGCTGGATTGATTCATTTAGGAGTTAGTGTTGAAAATGGTTAAAGCTAGTTTTAGTTATCTCCGTAATGGTTTGCTATGGAGGATTATATCTTGGCTAGTATATGATTAGATTTTATAAATCTGTATGCTGGTAGACCTTCAGATTATTTTATGAACATCAAGACTTTTATCCTTTTGTTTCTAAAAAGATGATTTCTTTAGCGGGTTAATGCATCTGTGATGTCTGAAATAGCACGTCCTCTCTTTGAACTCTACATTTCATCCGACAAGAAGCTCTGATTCTGTCTTTTTATTCAGGGTCAAGCCTTTTTTTGAGGTTTCTGTTTCTAAAATTGAACCATCTGGTTGCTGCTCCATGTTGCCTAACTGGTGTTTATGTAATGATTGGTTGCTTGGACATCATAGGCTCCAGGTATAATAATAATACATTTTATTTATATAGCGCTTTTCACAACTCAAAGACGCTCAGGTATGTCCAGGTATGTTGGTGACAAGACAGATCGGAGTCTTGTCTGCTTCCTCTCGGTCTTCTTACGGATGGTGATAACACACAGATATCATCTGTGAGATCAAAAGGAATTGCCAATAGTTTGATTGAAAATGTGATTTGTTTTACTCCAAAAGGTGAACTGGGTTACTCATGTCATTAATCAAACATCCCACTTCAAGGTTAGCTTCAGTTTCAGGGAATTTAGCCTTCTGCTCTAGCTTCTCCTAAACACAGTGAAAGATGTACTTATATATTGAGGAACAGAAAAGTTCATTACACAAGAAAATATCTGTATATTCTGAGAAAAGAGTCAGTGCTTGCTTTCTGTCAGGTTTTGTTGGCTTTACTTAAGCCGCTTCTGATTTTGTCAAGAGAAATAGTCAAGTGATTTTCTTTTTCCCCTGCTCATTCAAAACTCTCAATATTAAAGAATGTTCTGTATCAATGAATAGCATGAAACACCCACCCATGTCACCTCTGATCCCCTCTCCTTCTGCTCAGTGTTCATAGATGTTCAAGTGGAGCAGGGATTTCAGTGAGTCAGCTCCATACAAGAATGCAGAGATGTTTTTAAACTGGCTGTTTTGAAAATGTTTTTTGCCATCATGTACCAATGCATGGGGTGTACTGCCGCAGTTGTAATGTATTAAAGGTCACCTATTGTGCAAAATCTACTTTTTCATGTCTTTTATACATCAACATGTGTTTCCTCTGTGGAAAGAGATTCTGAAAGTTTCAGGAACAAAGATTCTCTCTCTTTTGGTCCTGATCCATTTCTATAAAAACCTGTCTGAAAATGAGCTGATCAGATTTTGGCCACTTTATGATGTCATCACGATTGTTTGGCTTGTGTAACCATTAGCCAATAACCAACCAAGGTACCCCCCCCCCCTTATCACCTGAATCTCCTCCTAGAGCACCATTGAGTTCTTTGTAACCAAATCTCTCCTTATTTTCATCTAAAGTAACAGACAGAGAATCAGCACTTTGGAAACAGGGCTGAAACAGAGGGGATTATGGGATGCTGCAATGATCTGTTTGGTATTTCAGCCAAACACTTCAGAGACATGTTTTATATATATCTGAGACCTATAATATATTGATGAAAAACAGTATAATAGGGGACCTTTAACTTAGATGTTCTAATAGGGATGCAGTAAAATCTGATCCTATATAGTCCAAGCAGGTGTTTGAATCCGGTTCACATGTAAAACTGGTGATGAAACTGCGGATTCATCTCTTTGGTCAGGATTTGCAATGGATTACATTCAATTGTTTTCAGGGTTTGTTTAATGGTTGTACATTAAGGTGTTTACATACATCACAGTTGTCTGAGTCAAGTTAAAAGGAGAAGGTTTTAATAACATATCAATGAGTTTAAAGGCTTATTGAATGTCAGAAGTTAGCAGAGAGGTTTTAAATACTCATTATGAAAGTATTTTATCTTTTGGTGAATTTCTTTGTATGACTGAAGCGTTGTATATATATATTACCAAAACAGTTGTCCTGCAGTGTATGGCTGGACAGCTAAGCATCAGTCTTGGCAGAAGACTGTGCGCAGAATTATGTTTTTTGAGTGACTATTTCAGATTTAAAGATACTCTGAGGGGTTTTTGACCCCTAATAGTACGATGGAGCAATGTTTTAACATTTTGGTTCCCACTTTGTTTATTTTATGCCTGCACACAAAGATGTCATACACATTCTTCTGCCTGTTTCATGTTATTGTGCTGGAAAAACATGCCATGAAACCACAACATCTCCGATCAAGATAAAGAAGAAGCTAGCATAAATGGGATTACATGTATGCTTAACTGCAATGCAAAGTGCATTGATCATTTTTTTTTGGTAGTCGACCATACTCACAATTGTTTTATTATTATATTATTATTATTGTCCATCCATCCATCCATCTTCTCCCGCTTATCCGTGGTTGGGTCGTGGGGGTAGCAGTTCCAGCAGAGAGCCCCAAACTTTCTTTTCCCTGGCCACATCAACCAGCTCTGACTGGGGGATCCCAAGGCGCTCCCAGGCCAGCGAAGAGATATAATCCCTCCACCTGGTCCTAGGTCTACCCCTTGGTCTCTTCCCAGCTGGACGTGCCTGGAACACCTCCCTAGGGAGGCGCCCAGGTGGCATCCTAACTAGGTGCCCGAACCACCTCAACTGGCTCCTTTCGACGCGAAGGAGGAGCGGTTCAACTCAGAGTCCCTCCCTGATGACCGAACTTCTCACCTTATCCCTAAGGGAGACACCAGCCACCCTGCGGAGAAAACCCATCTCGGCCGCTTGTATCCGCGATCTCGTTCTTTCGGTCATGACTATTATTATTATTGTGAGAACCAGAAAATATAAACATAACTTTTTTTTAAAGAAATCATTTTATTTGTCACTCGTTAATAAAGCAAAAACAATTTCCAGACAAACCCCCGAATGTACTGTAGGAAATTTGAAAGTGTTTTTTTGATTTGTGTCCTCTGTATTTCATATCACTAATTAGAGCAGACAATGATTTAGCAAAATATGATGACCCTTCCCAGGATGTATGAATAATATCAGATTTGTACTTGTGCTAATTAGATTCATTATGGCAGGATAGGGCAGTAAAACTGTTTTATTTTCTCTAATATTAAATACCACTGCATTCTGATATCTTAATCAGAGACGAGTCATGTGATAATAAGAGGACAGTAACCCAAATGTCTCTGCATAGGATGACAGGGTAGCCGATGACCTCTGTGTTCATGCTGCTCTGTGCAAGTTTGACTTTGAACCATCTGAACCATCACTGCTAATGTGGAGCACAGAAACAGAACAGAGCCATAATTAGAGTGAGGGCTGTCACACTGGCCTATAGGGAGCCGGGCTGAGCCTCTGAGGAAATGCACACAAAGACATACGCAGTGAATTTGTACTGACAAAATGGCTTCTGATAACACTTTATTACACTTCGGAAGAAGCAGCTGTTTTGTGCCCGTCATGGTAGTGTTCCTCTTTGCTCCTTGTCTCCCTTTCTGAGCTTTTCAGTGTCTTTCAGGCAATGCACTTGGCTTTGGGCTTATCTGCTGCAGCAGGCTGATGGTCCTCAGGTCTGACTGCGTATTTCCTTTGAGAATTGTTCTTCTTCTTTTGCACTCCTGTTCGCTGTTGGTATCATAACTGACGGTAAATAAGTTATTTGCAAAAGTAACATATATACCTCACTCCATCAATCATGTGACTTCAGAAACCCACACACACACACACACACACACACAACACACACACACATACACACACACACACACACACATACACACACACACACACACACACACACCACACACACACACACACACACACACACACACACACACACACACACACACACACACACACACACACACACACACACACACACACACACACACACACACACACACACACACACACACACACACACACACACACAGAGAGGCTCTCTTATCACAGCTCTCTGTTATTGCATCGGAGCCAGGAGTCTGTCTGCAGGGCTGGACTTTGCTCTCTCCTGTGGAGAATGGTCACTGCATATATTATTAGTAATCAATGGCTTGGTCCTCAAGTTGGATTTTTTGTTCCCGTAATGGTTCATCTAGTTGAAATGTGTTTTGTCCTAAACCCTGACAGCTGCTTTAGATTTTTGTCTCCACACAATGTTCTCCCCTCGGGCTGCTAAGATCAGCTGACTCTAAACCTCACACTTACACGCAGGATTGGAAAGACAAATGTATCACTGAACTGACAAAACACCAGTTGTTTGTGTTATGCATGCGTGTGCATGTGTCAGTACAGCTTCTCCAATCTTTTTTCGTTCTTCTGAAAAGTCACATTTCAAGTGAAAACATCTGTTAATCAATATTTGGGATATATTTGGATATTTTAAACACGGTTTGCACTAAAGACCTGAAGGTTTTCTCAGAAGTCATTTTTGTTTGACTTCTTATCTGCTGGCCAGAAAACATGAGTCAAGGATCAAAGGTGATGAAGTCAAGGTAAGGCTCCCATCAAATACATGAGGTACTGTCGATGCAGGGAGCAGCTGAGGGAGGAATGTATGCAGGAGCAGAAGAAATCCATGCAAAAGCAAAGCATTTCCTTTTCAATTAGGTCCAGTTTAATACACTGACCCTCCAAACTTTTGGAGGGGTGCCAGATGCAAGTGCACAGCAGCATCTGCTGATG